GTCTCAAAGTACCTAAATGAAGGAATCCTCTTCTTAGGTAGACTTGTTGGTTCCGGAATGTCAGCACCTCATTAGAAAACAGCTGTGCGCCAGCGCCTGCTCTCTGCGAAAAATTTGGAGAAGCTGTTGACAGCTCCTTACTTTTAACAAAGTTTGTTAAAATCCGTTGTAAAACTCTGGTAGTTTTTAATGTGAGAGACTTACTTTTAAGCAGGACCTGCTTTTTTTGTAAATGATAAATAAAAAAACTCGCACCTTCTTCATTGTGAGACTTGTGAGAGAAAAAATATCACACCCTCATCTTGCCACGCGTTTGATTGAAAACGAAAATAACTCGAATACATGCTCTCGCAAAAACTAGGACTTTTGTTTGGAAAAGTTGACCCAGAACAATGGGCCATTTCTTGATACGTAATCGATTCCATGCAACACATAGGGAAGGAAAAGCTGTGATCAAACTCGAAATGCTTTTAAAAAAACTTGGCTAAACGAAGGTTAATTTGAATGGCGCTACTAAATGAATCGTTTGTCAAGGAATTAACCTGCCTAGATGAGATTTTCCTCGGGGTATCTTACTTTTTTCGAACCGAGGAAACGTGTGATCGAAACTAAAATATTTTGAAAAACAAAAGGTAGCTTTTCCTTTGTTGAACAGAACTCTTTAAGGGAGGGAATTAAGTCTGAATATTATTATAGTGGTGTGAAAGATATTTTGCCATGCGGCTAGAAGTGAAGTTTGGCGAAGGAAAAAGGATACGTTTTTTAGAGCCCTTTTAAGCTCACTGGAGGCTAAGCACGTGGCGATTACATAGGTGTAACAGAAATCTGAAAGAAATTCATGCAAACTCCAACAACTCCTCTTATTTGATCCTTACCATGAACTTAAGAGAGGATGTCAGCATCCATCGAACAAATTTGAAATATTGTGGCAAGTGGCCCAGAATTCGTTTTCTCTCCTACTTTCATATTTTGTAGCCCAATATTTTCTAATAATTGTGGTGTAGTTT